ACTGTAAATTGGGGAATATCTGTTCCTCCTATGTTTTCTCTCGTATATTTGTGTGATTTATTTGGTCGTGTATTTTTGTTCCCAGCATATTCCTTTCCTTCTTTATGATGTTTCAGATCATTGGCCTGGTTTGGCATCCATAGTGTATTGCTGGGATGCACTGATTGAAGACGTGTCTTTCCAGTGATATCGGTAGATTTTGATCTTTAAATTTTTCTCTGCATTTTCCAAAGAACCCCTAAACAGCATATATTTTTCTGTTCACCCCTTTTTTATGCTCTCCTTCATAATAATACACTCATACTTTATTGTTTGTCCTAAATATGTATATTATGTCACTTGTGTAAAGATCTTGTTTTCTATAACAACAGTTATGTCTCTGGTACATTCGTCGTGTATTTGGTCTTATCTTTGTATTTTTTATTTTTTTGGGGGGTTTTTTGCTTTCGTTATTTATGATAGGCCTATTTAGATTAGTGTTGCTCCTTTTCCAGTGCAAAGTGCTACATCATTGGCGAATCTCAGATCTGTCAGGTGGTCTCCATCTATTGAAATTTATATACTGAGCGATGCCTTTTTGAATAATATTTTGATGCTGTGAATAGTTTGGATGATATGGGATCTCTTTGCCTCACTCCCTTTTTTCTATGTTGTCTTTTCTTCTTCTCTCTGCTGGGGTCTAGAAACTACTGAATTTTTTTTTTTTTTTTTTTTTTTTTTTTTTGTTGGACAAGAAAGGCTGCCTAAACTGTTTTATTGTTCCATACAATTGGGCATTTGGTAACGGTATGCAAAGAGTATCACATATTTTTAGGGGGAGTGAGAGAGTTATAAAAGCTGAATTAGAAGAGAAAAAAAACGTCGACATAGGTATAATATGAATATGTGAAAAATTATGTAAATCAAAGATGACAACTTTGATAGTCATGATGTAGGATCCTACAGATGTGGATCAATTCGAGTCTTTTCGGTTAGAAAAATATTTGGAGACCCAAATATTTTTATTCCCCATTTCCGAGACATGTAACTGTTGTTCCGTTGACTTCTTAAAAATTGCAATTTATCTGCAGCACACATACACACACGCACACACACACACACACACAGACACACACACATACACACACGCGCACACACACACACACAATCACACACACGCGCGCACACACACACACACACACACACACACACACACACAAGCTCTCACATACATACATATTATTATCGACTTCTAAAATATACACCTTGACAGGAAAAGCCTGGACGACCAACTGCATCACCCGTCGCCTTTGGCATTTGGAAGACATTACAAGTTTGTTTTTTTAAGGAAACCCAACCAGATAAGAACAGAAGGCAAACATTTCCTTTTTTACGCTCTTCTGACCTGCCGTGTTTCCATATCTGAGCATGTCTAGCACCTTGACATGCGTGGAGGAAAAGTAACTGCTGATCTGCGATCTATATAAACCTGTCTGCATGTCAGGAGCAAAGGCACATACCACAGTGTCTGAGAACCAGTATCAGTTGTCATGATGGAAGCTGTCGAACGATTTTGCGTGGTCCATGACATTATTTAGAGGAGGTGAATTCCATTCTAGTCACAGCTCGGTTATGATCCACAGATCGAAATCTGATCTTTAGAAGGTCAGTTCTTTCTGAACCGCGCTTGTTTGTCTCTTCTATATGGGTCCACGGTTTCCATGTGTCCCAGGATAATAACTGTTGGATTCTTTACTGGCGATTGACAACAGAATGATTCCCACAGTAGTTTTTGCAGCAGTTGCTGAAGTCATCTTTCTAGAGTACGGTAGTTTGATGAGGTGTCATTCTTTCCAGTCCTTTCGGGCTTCGTTTCCATCTCAGTTTTTATTTTATTTTTTTTAAGTGGATGGGTTGTTTTTAGGTGATGTCCCATTTTCTGCTTTTAGTGCATCTGCAGTGATGCTGTCAAGTCCTGCCTCTTTAACTTTTCGGAATGGAAAAAGTACCAGCTAAATTATATTTTTACTGGTGGGTCACTACAGATGTCTAAATCAACAACTGCTGAAGGTATATCTGGTGTTTTGGTGACACAAGAGCTTATGACTGGTGTTTTTCACGTACCAACTACTTCCTACTACTGTGCAGTTAATAATTTGTTTTTCCCAACCCCTTACGGCAGGCCTGGGGGGGGGGGTTGGGCAGCAATAACTGTAACATAATAAACAGCCAAATAGTTGCACTGACCTGATTAAATTCAAAAGTAAGGCCTCTTAAACAGAGATGTTTGTGAAGCTTATCAGCTCTCAGTCGTGTGAGATTGACCTCGCTCCCTGCCGCATTGTCCTCTCAACTTGTGACCTTGTCTTAACGCAAAAGGGTCATTCCATAAAAAGGGACTCACTTATTACATAGACTCCATCTTTTATTATGTTTGTTATTCACTATATTGTGTTGCAAAAACTGTAAAACCGGTCACTTAGACTAATGACGTTAACCTGCTAAGAAGATCTAAGCAAATAATGGAGTCCTTCTGTTTCTTTTCAATGGG